TATCGTTAAGTCTTTTTTAATATATTACTTTTTCGCAAAGTGTTATAAACTCGATAGCTCAATTCGTTCGAATAATTAATCTTATCTTAAAGCTTTTATAACTTAAAGTCTTTATGCTATTTATCGACGATATTAAAGTAAAAAGATTATAAATAAACTATTCCGACGAAAAAGCACTTTCGAATATACGCCGATTCGTGCTCGAACATATTTAGAATATCGATAAAACTTTAAAACGGATTAAGCGCGCTAATATTATAATCGAAAAAAAATCATAGTTTTGCTAAAATAAAATAAATATAATAAAATTCGTATGCAATTCGAAAGGTCGAGAACTTATTGCGAATAAAATTATTAAGATTAATAATTAGAAAACTTTCGAAAACGTTATTAAAATTAAAAGATTTTTAAGCTTTTGCTTTTACTTTTGCATTTAAATCAAAAGATTCGTATACATTATTAACTTTTTTTATAACTTTATAAAAAAAAATATAAATTAGCAATAAATTAAAGCGCATTCGAAAGCTATGCGAATACTATAAAACGCTTTAACGACGGCTTCGGTTTTAATTAAAATCGATTATAAAAATTAAAATAAAAAAATAATAATAAAAATAAACGTTAATTTAAAAAGATAAAGAAAATATATCGATTAACGCAAAACTACTTTTAGCAAAGTGCAATCGGCTCGATACAAGTCCGAAGCTTAAACAAAAGCAAAACGGAATTACGACGCTATTAAACAAAAGTGCCGCAAAGTACTTAAAGTCTTTAAGAAACTTAAGCTATAAATTATTAAAATGCATTTTATCTTTAAGATTAACGCTAAAGTGCTCGTTGCTTAACTTCGACGAAAAGCTATCGATATACTTTCGGCTTTAATTATACGTTAATTAATTTAAATTAATCTTTTCGATTTTAAAGTTCGATATATCTTTAATAAAAATTATATTATTATTAATGCATTATCGAGACGGCTATAGCACTTTAATAATTTAAGCGAAAAAGATAAGAATAAGTTCGATAATAGCTTATTAATCGACTTAAGACTTATTAAAGCTCGAAACGGCTTCGAAGAACTTTCGACGGACCTTTTAATAGATATTCGTTAATTTATTTTTAAAGATATGTTTTAACGCTTAAAAAAAGCGGAAAATGCAAACTTAAACGAGTTTAACGACGATTACGATTACAAAAGCTTTTTAAACTTAATCGAATACTTTTTAAAATTAATTCGAATAATTATTTTCTTAACGATCTTACGAAAACTTAAAGACTTAAATAAAGTAAAATGCTGTAAATTTAAGAAAAAAGCTATTAAGTATAAAGTGAACGATAAAAAGCTTTAAAGACTTTCGACGAAAAGTCTTTTTTTTCGATTAATAATCGATAAATTTTCAATTAAAACGGACATTATTATAGCTTATTACGATAAAAGTAATTATAAAAGCCGTAAATCAATTTACTATTATGTTTTTTAACGTTACTTTTAAAATAAATGCTATACGAACGTTAAACGATTCGTTAAAACTTATAAAGAATACTAGCATCGAGTAGTTAATAAGCTCGAAAAGCTATTATATTTTACTCGATTTAATAGCTTAATAAAACGTTAAGCTATCGATATCATTTATTTACTTGCACGTAATAGCAAAAGCTATTTAGTTATTATTAAAAATAATATAAATAAATAAGTCGAAGCGAAAGCGATTCGGACTTAAGATTCGCTTTTAATAATTAAGTTTATTTAAAAAGATATCATTTGCCGTTATAAGATTTTCTTTTAATTAATAATCGACGGAAGTTCGGAGTTTAAAAAAAAGATAATCGACTTACTTAATAATTAAAAAATCAATCGAGTCGTAATCTTAGCATATTACTTTTAAGCGAATAAAATAATAAAACGCGGCTATTAATTAATTAAAAACGCATTAAATAAGCTTAAAAGCATCGATTAAATTACGCAATTACTAGCCGTTTTATTCGCCGACCGCACTTCGATATATACTTTTATCGAATTCACTTTCTTTTATATAATGTACGGCAAAAAAGCAATGCTTTTAATTAAGATTCGAATTTAATTTTAAGCTACGTTATTTTAAAAGCTAATAACTAATCGTATTAAGCTTATCGAGTTAAAAGCACGCTAGTTTCGGATGCAAAACGAAGACGCTACGAAAGCTATATTTAAAAAAACCCGTTGCTATTAAAAAAGAAAAAATGCTTTTAATAATAAAAAAAACTTTCGAATCAAACTTTTAAAAGTAAATGATTTAGTCTTTAAGCACGACTCGATACGTAAAATAAATATATTTAACGTTAAGAAATTAGATTTTCGATAGCTTAGCTTTTATTAAATTTCGTCGGTAAATATAAAAGGATATTATAAGTTAAAAAAGCTAAAAGAAAACGAAGCTTTGCTAAATAAAACATTTGCTAGCAATCGATTAAAAAAGTTTTACGTGCGATACATTTTTAAAGCGTTATTATTTCGCTTTAAGCTTTAAATAAAAAGATTTTTAAAACAGCTTTTATTAAATAAAGTGGCCGAGTCCGGCTTTTAAATCAAGCGCTTAAATAGATTTATTATTCGATTATTTAGCCTTACGAAAAAGCAACGAAGCTAATACGCAAGAGTCTTTATAAGCAATAATAAAAAAGCAATAAAAAGTAATTAAGTTATAAAAGCATAATTATACGTAAAAGAAAGACGAGTTTAAATTTGATTTTTTAATTTCTTTTTTTATTTAAGTTTAATTTTCTTTATTTTCCTTTTTCTTACGCTTTCTTTATTTCTTTTTTTATATTAAAAAACTTTACGTTATTACATTTATATGCTTTCGATTTATTATATACGAGCATATTATACATATAAAGCGGACCTTACTCGGAGGCTAATTAAAAAAAGCATACGAAAAATCTATTATATTAATTACTTAGCAAGCTGCTAATACGCGATAAAAACCCTTCCGACTTTATAATTTAAAGTTAAGTAGAATAGTACGAAAATCCTTCGCAGCATTTTAAGCATTGCTTTTACTTTTCGAAGTCTTACCGATATTGCTACGACTCGAACCTTTCGAAAAACCACGAATATTATTATAATTAGAACCTCGCGAAAAAGAACTACCGGTATTGCCGCGAATAAAAGCTTAACGAGTATTTCAGCGGAGCCTTTTCGCAAAAAGCGTAAAAAAAGCAAAAGGCGTAAGAAAAGCAAGACGTATAAAAAGTAATAGCGATAACGATAATAAAGATAAGCGAAACAAAGACTTTTCGGTAATCTATTATAATTAAATCGGAAAAGAATTATAAAAGGTTCGTAATATACATTTACGCAGCTAAAGAAATTACTTAGCAAAGTATTGTTTCGATTTATTATAATTAAGATTTAACGCAGCAAATCTAGCGAAGCTAGATCGGCGGTAATAGCGGCGGCAAATAAGCGTAACGTTAAAATAGAACTTAAGCTAACTAAAAGACTTTTAGCATTAGCAACGGCAAAAGCAACAGCAGCGATACGAGCTCGAAAAGAAGAAAAAGCATTATTAACACGAGAAGCAAAAGCGCGGCGGGTCTTTATAAAAAAGTTATTTGCAATTATGCTTTTACGAAAAACGTCGTCGGCCGTTTTAATTTTATTATTTATAGCTGTTATCGCATTTATCAAGATTATACTAGTATTAACGACTTTTGCGAAAAGCTATCGAATCGAAGTTAAAACGAGTATAAAACGAAAAGTAAAATAACTTACGAAGATGCAAGTTGACTTAATAGCACGGCAACGCTCGTATTTAATAGAAATGTCGAAAAAAAAGATGCACCGACTCGCGGCATTATCGATAGTTTTGCTTGCGTAGCTTACGCATCGAAAGCAGATCGAAAATATAATAATAAAAGATAAAGTTAATAAATAATAATGCTAAAAGAAAGATAGAAAAGTGTAAAGTTAATATAAAAAAAAAGTATTATTTATAATAAGACTTCAAGTATATATTGCTGCTTTTGTTTTCTTTATTACGTTACCGCTTTAAGCTTTACGCTATTACCGATTCGGCGATGCGTTATCATTTGACCGCTTAAACCGGCGCACGTTTATCTTAACGATAATACTAACGCTTAAGTTGATATTATTTTTATAATTAAATAAAAATGCTATAAAAGATATAAAAAAAGTTAAACCCGAAAGGTTATTTTGCATTTTCGTTGCTATTCTTATCTTTTTTATTATATTATATACGCTTCGTATTAATACCGATTCGGCGATGCATTATTAAGTAATACTTTAAGACTATATTGCGACCGTGCAATTCAGCTATATGCTCGTCTTGCAAACCCAACCTTATTACCTTAATAAAAGGTGACTCGAAAGCGAGTTTGATTCGAAAGAAAGACGTATATAATAAAATTAAAGCTTTATATTTGTTTTATCTATATATATAATATTAATGCTAAGCACTTTTGTTACGTAAGTGCGCTGCATGCTTTAGCTTTGCTAAGCACGTAATTAAGTCACGTGCAAGCTCTTATATAAACGAGTAGTTAATTCTTTTTTGAACTAGCACTATATTACTACATAATACAATACACGTACTCATAGCATACATCCGAGTGTCCTTCGATCGTCCTTCTTCTCTCCTTTTATTCACTTACGATTCTACTATAGCTATATTTATATATATCTTTTAATTTAACGTTAGGTATATGTCGGAGCTCTTCCCTTCTACAATACTGTTTACAATCATCCTCTCGCTAAAACAAAACAGAACAAAACAAAAAATATACCATGATTCACAAAGATGCTTATGCCAAAAAGAAAATCTAAAAATCCAACTACCATCTACCATTTCATGAAATATGATACAAGAGATTGTGTAAGAATTTATATTATATGTAAATTTATACAGAGAATGTAAGTCTATAGAAGAAAAGCAGAAACTCGATCAACAATCGAGCTTTAACCATTGCCGAAGAGACCTCCCCCCGAAAAGAGAATCTAGCTAATTCTTTGCGGTGGCAATCTTCTTCTCGAACTCCTCGCGCGAGAGCGTCGAGTTGGTCGTCACGCCGTGGTGCTTAGATGGCTCCTGGATCTTCTCGTGGATGTCGACGCGCTTGTGGGTCACGCTCGGGTCAATGACCTCTGAAAAAGACAACATCACATTAGCATATATTTTTTTTCTTCATCTTTCTTCATCGACCCCAATCCAATTCCAAGGTGTGAAATGAATATGGAGTGGAGGAGGAGTGCATCTGGTAAAGACGTACCCTTCTCAATGACGGGCTGGATCGTCTCGTGCAGGTGGTGGTGAACATTCTCCCCCACCGTCGTCGGCTCGACCGTCTTGCTCTCAAAGTTCTTCTGGTCGGCCGTGCTCGCGAAGCCGGCGCGGTCCGCTTCCGCCTTGGCCTTGGCGGACCCGTCGTCGCGGTTGATCTCGCGCTCCTTGGACGTCTGCGTGTAGTCGTGCTTCTCGGGCAGGACCTCGTTGTCGGTCAGGGGCTGGACGGTGGTGTGGTAGTGGTCCTGGTGCTTCTCCTTCTCGACATTGGTCTGCTCGCGGGTCTCGTGCGTCTTCTTGACGTGGGTGTGCTCGACGGCGGGTGCGACCTCGGCGTCGAGCGTGGTGTCTACATCGCGGCCGGTGGTAGTGTTGCTGGTGTTGGTATTGGTGGAGGATGCGGTGCTGGCCTGGTTCTCCTCAGGATTGGTGCTGGAAGCGGCCTTGAACAGGCTGCTGACGGCGTTGGCTGCGTTCTCCATATTGATGTTGGTGATGAGGGACTGCGAGAGATGTGTTGTCGATTTGGGTGATTGGGTAATGGGGGATTTGGGTTTTTGGGTCTTTGGGTCTTTGGGTCTTTGGGTCTTTGATAATGGAAGACGAGAAGACCCGAGTCCGTCGTCTATTATACTCACTTGGACGTCAAGATGCCAAGACTGCCCCCAATGCATTCGGCCTTTGAACTGCGCGATTGCGTCACGAACCCCCGTGTCATCATCCAGTGCGGCGGCGCCATCTTCAGGCAGGAAGGGGCAGGAAGGGGCAGTTTGTTGGTGGGAAGGAAGTCCAACCATTGGCCGAGAGGTCCTTGCCCCTTGGATTTAAAGCGGGGAGTCCCGCGTAACTTGACAGGAACACTGGTCAGAGCCCTCTGAGCACATGGCAGCTAGACCGAGCGACTGTCAAGCCCCGTCGTCTCTTTTTTTTTTCTTCCCAGAATCGGCGCTGGGAAAAGTTGGAAAACTGGGTTGTGGAACGTGTGGCGTCATCGTCTTCGCCACCCGAGGGGCCAGGCGAGACCAGAGCGAGAACAGAAGCAGAGCACGTGAAGTGAGGATCTGGTCCAAGGGACTTTCTTTGGTGATCAATTCTGCGAAGAGGGACTGACTAGGCATTGGGCATTGGGATTGATCTGTTGCGGTGTAGATAGTAGTCGCTATCAGGCCCAGTGGCTAGAGTTCACCTACTTGGGGGGGACTTGAGGGCTGGCGGAAGAAGGAGAGGGAGAGGGAGAGGGAGAGGGAGAGGGAGAGGGATAGGGAGAGGGAGAGGGAGAGGGAGAGGGAGAGGGAGAGGAGAGGAGAGGAGAGGAGAGG